GAAATATGTTTTGTCCGATCTCCGTTGATTGTATCCTCCCTTCAGTTGAGCTATATATCGTTTTCGTATATGGACGTGGCTAGAATATCCTTTTCAAAAGAAAATCACATATTTTCTGAATATGATAGATCATGATTCCAACCAAACACACTTCCAACTTTCTTTATAAATCAGTATTATTTCTGCATGATTTGATTCTTTGAATGCCAAGATTTTGTTGTGCCTCCATATGTAAATAAATAGTCCATTTGCGATCGAGCTTTATGCAGATCAAATAAATATTCTACATCTACATAATCAAATCATTTCTAACTCGGGAATTGATCATTTCAATTTTATTGAAGCTCGTCTTTTCTTCTGAAAGAAAATCACACATCTTCTATGTGTTAAGTCACTTCCTTTGTTAATTTCTAGTCATAACTTGAATGATAATATGACAATCCCTTCACATAACTTTCGTTATGTATATAAAATAATCCTCTAGCATTTGCATAACCAGCAATTTGTAAGTGCACCAATTGCACTAATACATGACATTTTAAATCATTTTCATGAGATGAAAAAGATTCTTTCTCTGTGTTAAGCAGTCTCAGAGCCATTGGATACTCAATGGAATTGCTTTAATACCTTTTAAATCCTTCAAGGATTTCATATAACCTTCATCGTCTAGTTAGACATAATAATCATTTATTATACATATTCAAGTATTTCATCTATTGTTAGACTGAAACAAGTCTCATTGCATCCACCACTGGAGAATATATCTCCATTTAATAATATCACAATTTTTGCGAAAACCTTTTATGCCCCGAGGCACAAACCACACTTTATATCTTATTGTTATACTTTCGCACAATTATTCATTTGTACCACACTGACATTATATTTTGATTCATGAACTATAAGATCAAAAACATCACTTTTCTAAGTGAAACAAAATATACTTGAATAGTGCCAATCATTTATCTGTCCACACTATATGACATATTCGAATTTAAGATCCTCGTAATCATTTATAGCATTGAATGCTACTTCATATCAAAGATACCGTCGACGGTCATTTTGATATCGATTCCAATACGACATAACTTATCGAGATCTCTTCATTTTTCATCATTTTCAAGTACCTGAACCTTTGCCAAGGTTTTATGAAGTGTTATGTCATAGTGCTCTTTCAAAGCACTTACTTCATTATCATGACCATTTTGATAATTTGCTCATCTCCTTCCTCAAGGAGTTTTACGTTTGGAATCAATTGGTCTATCACGCTTCTGATGTACCATAGACTCTGTCCTTCAAGAAATTTTTATTGAAGCATTTGCAGCTTAATTAAAATATTGGGTTAGCAAATACATCTGACAAATTATTTGCAACATTGCAAATGAATTATCTCTTGAACTTCAAGTTCACATTTTTTTTAACGAGGATCTAGATATTCACCCCACACATAATTTTCAGTTGCTACACATATCTCCCCCTAATGTTAGGAAATTTAACATTTACCCCCAACCTCATTTGGGTATCTATCTTTGTGCGTGGTGGAGCAATAAATCATATGTGCACACATCAAATTTTAGATGGAAATTATTTGGTTCCTGACCCTGAACCAATTGTGATGGGAGAACTTTGTTGGCTTGATGCATACTTGTTAAATAAACTCATCTCATACCAAATTTTATTTGAGAGATTTGTTCTCAAAATCATTGGTCTAGCTATAATTGGAGGCATACAATTTTTGCTAAACCAACCAGCATTATCAACATAATTTTATAGTTTGAAACTGTGTTATTAATTTAACAATTCGAACAAACAACCTTACATACCATAAATACATCTATTAAATCATAATAGTGAACGGTCCACATGGCAAGTGAGCGGGCTCATATTCACCTTTCTATATGTTCCAAATAATTTCAGGGGATACAATTCCAACCTTAATTGATACAGTTATCGTTTTGTCATGAGAACAAGCTACAAAAGAGAATCTTGAAGAATCTTTTATTCCTTCAGACATATTGCCACGTGAATTCTCAACTTCTTTTGCATCACATTTGAACAAGAATGGCCAACTAATATTTATTCTAGTAAACTTCTAGTTACTTTTGCATGTGATTCCTTCATCATGCTCATATTCAACAAACAAGAGAAAGGCGGGTAACCTTTTATGTAAATAGTCATAACCCGCGTTGATTGTAGTAATCTGAAGATATTTAATTTTTCAATAATTTACAGTCTCAATATAATGATTATTTTTTTTCAATTCCATCGAAACTTAAAAAGTTTCTTTTGAGACTTACTACAACCCCAATATTATGAACAATTTCATTTCAGGTAATAACACATTAGCTCTTTCGGAACTCTCAATTAATTTTGTGTACTATCATAAATTTCACAACACCATTTTTACGGTGACCATCTCCTTCAAGGAGAAAATTATTATTATTGTCATGGTTAAAATTATTACATGCAAGACTTATTTCTTGACAACCAATGACAAATTTGTGTTGTCACACAACAATATTTATTTTGATCATGGCCACAACCTTTATAGAAAAGATTTATTTCTTTCTTTTGTCCTCCTATAGTTCATAATAAAACATACCACAATATTTGTGTAGTACTCAAAGTATATGACTAAAATGATCATTTATGGCAAAATATTTCCTTTCAATCTCTCAAACCTCTCGTAGAGGTGAGATGTGACATTCATCCAACAATACATGAACATGTTCTTATCCATACGAAAACAAGTCACATTTTCTTCAAGAAATGACCATTTGTACATGCTCCATAAGTTTTTATTATAAACTCATTGTCATGCTTGACATTATCAAATTTATGTGACTCACATCAACATCACTTTAAGAGGTCAAATGTACCAATTATACTACCACTTTGTATTCCTTCAATTTGATGGAGAATTTACAAAACTTTTCAAATTGGGTTGCACCAACAACAATGTACCCAATAACTTCTCATACCACTTTGATGGATAAAAATTACCTTTAACAATTACCTTCACATTTGAAGGACCATCTTAAGAAACAATGTGTCCAATAACCTTTTATACCACTTTAATGGATAAAATTATCTTCACATTTGAAGGAACATCTTAAGAACCCATAATTTTCTTCCTTTTAGTTACCACAATGATGACCATTAACATTTTACCACACCCATATTCATACATTCAACCACTTGTCATTTTTCAGACATCTTATGTACTGCTATCACATTCACATAAGAGAATGGATCAAATCAATTGGGCGGATTTCATGACTTTTATCAAGAGCATATTAATTTGCTCAGTCATCATTACATCATCATTATATTATGTTAGGACTTGAACCAAGCGTCTTACCCATAAGAAGGCATTTTAGGTCATTATTTGTTGGGACCCAACCCAACATTTTATTATCATGATGCATCAGGACTCTCACCCGATTACGCTCTTGGTGCGATAGGACTTGAATCCTTCGTCTTACCTTCAATCAATGACATAATGCCAAATATAAGAGGACTCACCATTGAGCCTTAAAAAAATATTACCACTTTGTGATTAACATGTACAAATAAATAAAGAAATAAAATTACCACTTTGTGATTAACATGCATAGTAAAATATAGAAAAAAAAATACAAAAAAATATATTCTCAACAAAGTATGTATTAATATATTTAACTTGTCAAAACAGAGAGTTACATATAACATTATATTATATTATGTTTGGTGCATAATTATTAAGGTAGTGAATTATCGTTATAAATCAAAGAATCAATTGCACACTAAGAAAATAATAATTTCAATTATACTAAAATAAAACTGCTCACTACCATCACCCATTTTTCAATTTTCATGTGAACCCAGAATATTTCACACACAAAAATAAATTAATTAAAAGCTTATGTAATAACCAAAACAGTGAGCATAATCATAAATAAAATATAAAATAAGTTTCACGTACAATATATATAGTCATAGGTGAAAAAAAAATGCATAGTAACAATAATATTAATCATTCACCTTGTTCACAATTAAAATATAAAATAGATTCCACAATAATTTACTTTGTTCCCAAGAGAAAAATAAACACAATTATTTTACCTTCTTTTATTTAGTTTGCTTCAATCCTGCAATGGTAGAACATTCGTGCTGATAACGTGTTATTAAACTTAAGAACAAAAGAACAATATAAAGATGAAAACACAATAGAAATATAAAGACAAGATATGAGAGTGTTTCTTATTCTTCCAAGTCTTCAAGTGTATACAATATGAACCCTTATGCCTCTATTTATAGTGTAACATAGAGACATACAAAAAGTTAGTCATAAACATGACATTAGCATAAATATAATGGGGAGGTTATGGAAGTGAAATGTTACAAGAATAATTGTTATAAAGGAGGTTATGGTTATCTTCATAATGGATGAAAGTAATTAATTAACTTTTTGATATAGTGAACATCCACAATATATTATTTTATAACAATCCACAAAATTTAGACTTCAAATTGAACTATTACTTTAAGAGTTTAAGTTTTGTGCACCGTCGGTGTATGAAATTTCTACACCATCAGGTACTTTTAATGAAATTTAACCATAGTAATTTATTTAATAAAATAACAATTATTATAAAAAGGAAAAAAAAAAGAATATCAACAGTTGAGTCCTACTTGGATTCTAATCATATTTATTTCTATAACTAAATTATTTTCTTTCCATACTTAAATACAATATTGAGTTTTACCGTATGTTTTCCCAGAATCATGCTTATGTAGTTCTTCAAAGCTTCAAAACTTGTGAATTTGCTAAGTAATAATTTTTAAAGGCATCAGGCGATTTTGAAACTTGACAAGCTTCTTCTACCTAGTGGTATGTCGCTATACAATTAGAACAAATTTCACATTTTAAAGTATATAGTGGTATCTTGGATCTTCCATTAAATAATGTCATTCTGCTAGTTTTTTCAAAACTTGTGCACACCAATTTGGCAACCTATCTAGTGCTTCCGTGCTAGCCTCATAAGAGATGATTGCTTTTGAACTTCTTTAGTTATATTCAACGAACTACTTTTGTCTTGTCCATAAAACTGGATACTAGTAGTACTAATAATGTTCTGTTCCACAGTCAATCGGAGCTCTCTTGAACCATACTCATCAGCCAAACGAGCTAGGTCATCAATGTTGTTTGCTTGGACACGACCCATTGGAATGTGAAGGACGATAAAGTTGTAGCCATCTTGTTTCTCTGGAAAAAATTTCTAGACTACCTTATGATTTATGTCATATTTCTATCTTCACAATAGTCAACAACAATGCATATAAAGCTCCTCTTATCCATTCAAACAACATGTATATTACATGGTGTAAAAGAAATGGAAGATGATTTGAAGAGCAAAAAAGAGACGTTTTATGATTTCAAATATAAATGTATTCAGAATTTGTACAATTGTATGAAATGAAATGAAATTTTATACAAAATATGAAAGACTGTAATTAAAATTTATGTAATGTATTACGTCCAGATCTTTGTACTTGTTCTGGTGCCATTTTGGAAATGAAGAGAAAATTCATAGACTGACTATTAGCAGCTGGTGAGAGAGGAGGAAGAGAGAAAAAGCTCAACAACATCTGGTGTATCACAGGGGCCTGCACACCGAAGTAGTATCATTTTCTTGCGAGTATCCTACATTAACTATCATGTGTTTCCTAACTATTTATCAAAACACGCCTCGAAATTAATGAGTCTTATTTTAAGCAGCAAAAAATCTTCATATACCTCCCAAATACAAGTCTATCAATCTCTAAAGGGTAAAATGAACAGGAAAGCAAAAAATAAATTCAACTACTCTATTTTTTTATAAGAAAATCCAAGCAACTACAAGTCAGCAGCAATTAGAATTCAGTATGTACTTAATCTTCTTATTAGGCCTCAACTGGTTGTTGTGTCCACACTTCTTCTTGCGGCAGTTGATAGCACGAGGATGCAACCGAGCATAGCACTTGCGGCATATCAGTACCAGATGTAATCAGAAACCTAAAGTATGTAGTAAAACTATTTTTTGTTTGATGAGGATCAACCACACAGTAAAAATAAACAAAAGATAAGAGACGATCTCATATCCAAGAGAACCTGCTAGACAAGGAATCTATTTTGTCCAAACAAGAGATGATCCAGTAACTAGAAAAAAATCAACAATGTAATAAAATCATATACACTAGCAAACTCAGTTCATTGATCAACATGCTTACCTGTTGATTATGTCCAAATACTAATACTGTCTTTACACAATAAACACATCAAAATAAACTATGAAAGGACTATTTAGAATTAAAAAACAGAGAAAAACTAATAAATCTAAATCTAAAGAACTATTTCTTCCTCTTTCCTTCTTATTCTCAAAGCTCCAAATCTTCTATCTTTTTACTCACTAACTAGGACGATATTGTTGGAATGGAGTTGAAGCCGCTTTCATCAAATCCTGATAAGAGAATAATAATTCATCAACACGCATCTTATCATGTAAACAATATATACACGACATGATTAAAGAAAGAGCAATTCTTACTGTAAATGAGGTGGCATAAGCACAACCAGCGTTCTCAACATATTCTTGATAAAATTCTGAATAAGCATTAATGTTTGAACTACAAATGTAATTTTAGAAGTTATTACAAAAGTAATCCCAATAGAAATAATATGCATCATGCTAAGTGAAATTACCTTGTTTCCTTTCTCTTAAGTTTCACACTTTTCGTTTGCTTTTTTTGCTTTTGAGAAGATCTTCTTTTAATTTTTGGAGACGAAACTTTTTTGGTCTTCTGAGTAACTTCTAGAAAACCTCTCATCCTCAAAGATCTCGGGCGCCCTTTAGTTGTTGCTACCGGAGGGTCATGCAAAGTAACATCTTGACTTTGTTCACATGAGTTTATTTCCTGATCTTTCTCACTAACTTGACCACCTGATACACAATCTTCCTCAGATTCATAAGAAAGCTCATCAAGTTCTCCACACAATTGCAATAATCTTTGATGCGCAAATTGATAATGTTTTTCAGACTTTGTAGCTCGTTCAGATAACCCAATAGAATGCATCATAATGTTATTAAACCACAAAGTAGAAGGTTTCAAAGTTTGTGTTACGTTTGAGGGGTCATTAGCTTTTTCTTTGGTTGCGTTTCTTGTCCATCGATCTAATAAATAATACATTGGAAGTGAGTGAATCTGTTTTTTTATAAATACCATTAGTACATGTCTACATAGAATTCCCATGAACTCGAACTTGTGACATGAACAAACAGCTCTTTTCAATGCAAGATCTAGACTAACGATATATGCTGGCCTTTGTCTTTGAAGCTGATGTACTTTATAGATGTTTGCTCCATCCTTGACCTCAATCTTTTCGGCGATAAATTTTTGAGACTGAATTAGTTCTTCTTGAAAAATCTGAAACATTTTTCTTGTATATTCCTTCGCTGCTTCATCTTCCATAGGATACAAAGTTTTCAAGATAGGTCTTGAATGTTTTGTCTTGTAATCCTTCTCCCTTACTTTATCATATCTAGCGTCAATAGCCTTATCATATTGCACCACAAATACACTCATTGGAGTACTAGAATTCAAATAATCTTTAAAAAATTTGTTCATACTCTCACTTCTTTGACTTGTCGACATGCCTGCACAAAAAGTGCTACGCACATATGCCGGTATCCATTTTTCCATTTTGACCGCAAAAACTTTTGACTATTTGGAGATGCAAGTTCATGATTGTGCTCAGCAACAACCCTACAAACAACCCATTTATCTTCTCCTTTCTTCGACATATATAACAACGCTTTGCATCCTTCTCTAGTTTCATCTTGTGGTTTATTGCTTTCTAAATTTTTCTTTGAACGAAATCCTTGCTTCGAACAAACAAATTCTTGACCAATTATTGATTTATCTTTCCTTGATTTAGTCATACGACCACGGCGCACACTAAAACCATTACGATGAGCATAATCAAGATAAAACTTAAATGAATCATCAAGAGACTGAAACTCCTTACTAATGTAGGGAGCTTTTGAATTTTCCACACCTATATCGGAAGCAGTTTGTCCAGTTCCCTCCATGTCACTTTCTTCTAATAGAACTTCAACTCCTATATTTTGCACATCTACATTTGATTTTTCCATTAATCTTGCAAAATACAATTAAGAAAGTTAGATAGCTTACAATAATGAATCTGCTCATATATTTTTCAACACTTCAATTATAAAACATATTCAATATTAATGAAAGTTCAATCAATAAACTCCTTCCCAACATTCTAAAGAGCAGAGCAAACGTATTGGGGACAATATAAAAACACTTTAAGATACAATATTCACCTCTCATGAGACTATATTCACTTATTTTTAGTACATTGAAATTCTTTTGCTCATGAAGATATTGTTCAAAAGAGGCTTTTTTATGCTGGCAAACGAGAAAAAAAATGTGAAATTTGTTCATATTGTATAAGAACGAACCACTAAGTAGAAGAAGCTTGTCAAGTTTCAAAATCGCCTGATGCTCTAAAAATTATTTCTTAGCAAATTCACAAATTTTGATGCTTTGAAGAACTACATAAGCATGATCCTGGGAAAACCTACGGTAAAACTCAATATTGTATTTAAGTTTGGAAAGAAAATAATTTAGTTATGGAAATAAATATGATTAGAATCCAAGTAGGACTCAACTGTTGATATTCTATTTTTTTTCTTTTTTATAATTATTGTTATTTTATTAAAATAAGTTACTATGGTTAAATTTCATTAAAAGTACCTGATGGTGTAGAAATTTCATACACCGACGGTGCACAAAACTTAAACTCTTATTTTAATTTAAACCTTACTTCAGGTTTAAAATATTGATTATAACAATAATTCAAGGGAAATACCAAATAAAAAACAAACTAAAAACGAAACAAAACGAACATATACTAGTATCAAATATAACCGCCATTGACACGAATGATCTGTCCATTAACCCATTCAGAAGCATCGCCGGCTAAAAACCCAACCACCGGCGCCACATCCTCAGGCAGTCCAAGCCTTCCATGTGGACACTCATCAATCGCCTTCTTAATCATCTCCTCCGTTTTCCCTTCGTAAAACATATCCGTCGCTATGGCTCCCGGCGCTGCACAATTCACCGTTATCCCTGTCCCTTTCAGTTCTTTCGCTAGTATTTTCACCATTGCTTCCACGGCCGCCTTTGACGCCGCGTACGCCCCGAACCCGGGCCTCAACGCCACCGCCATCGACGACGATAAGCATATAATCCTCCCCCCTCCGCCGCGCTTGATTCTGTTAGCGCCTTCTTTGCAGCATATGAAAGCTCCACGCACGTTCACATCGAAAGTCCTGTCGAAATCCTCCAGGGGTGTGTTTAGGATCGACGGGTATTTTCCGTCGAGTACGCCGGCGCAATTGACGAGGATGTTGACCGGCGATTGAAAGGCTGATTCTGCAGCGTCGAAGAGGGATTTGACTTGATCTGGATCGGACACATTGGCTTTGACGGCGATTGCGCTTGGGGAATCGGAGGTGGAATTGATCTGGGATACGACGTCGTCGGCTTGAGTAGAGTTGGAAGTGTAGTTGATGACGAGTTTAGCTCCAAGAGAGGCCAAGTGAAGAGCAATTGCTTTGCCGATGCCGCGAGAAGAGCCGGTAACAATGGCTACACGATTCCCGAGGTTTTGGCCTTGGGCTACGTTTGCTTCCGCCATTATCACTGAAGAAAAGCACTGAAATTGCTAGAAAATGGAATTTTGTGGATAGACACCGAAAAGTGCTGGTGTGGTGCTAATTGTGTGATAATATTCTATAGTATTATTATTACTATTTATAACAAATAAAAGACGAGAAAAAATTCAAAGTAGTCTCTTATCTTCGGTTAAGAATTAAAGTCATATTTGAGTTTTCACTTGGAACAATAATAGTTCCTTGTGTTGGCATTAGTGACTTGATGTATTTTTTGTTCTCTCTCAACTTTTCGCATATTTTTCAACATTAATTTTGTCCACAATTTATGTATGAAATCTTTCATCATCTTTTTATATATTTAGTAGAAATAATAACTTCATGTAAATAAAGGATTATCTTATTTTGTTTAGTAGAAATATTTTTACAGTTAAAATCGAGAGGTTCATCTGTGTTGTCACGTGTATAGTATATTTTTTTTCTTTTCTTAAAACGTCAAATGTCAAAGTGTTCATAGTTTAGATGTAATAATATTTCTATCAAACAAAACAAGATTTTCTTCGCACCTTCTCTCACATTGAGTATTATTTCTATTAAATATATTAAAAAAAGATTTAACATTCTACACATAAAATTATGGATAAAATAAACGTTTAAAAATTGGCCAAAGTTTGAGGGAGGATAAAAAATGTATTAATATTAATTTTACAAATATGAAGGACTATTACTATTATATATAAAATTTTAAGAATAACTTTGACTCTATTATTATTATATATAAAAATTTAAAAATAATTTGGAGTCTTAACCGAAAGATTGAAACTATTTTGGGCTTTTTCCTATTGAAAGAGATAGTCAAACTTGAAATTTAGTCAAATAAATCGCTTTTAATTTTGGTCAGAGTCAAATAAATCGCTTGACACTTTAGGACAAAATTTTAAAATGGAGATACTTCATATGTCTGCTATTAGAGCCGTCAATATGGGTTAGGCCCGTTGGGTCAATCTGGTCTAATTTGTAATTTGATAGGATTGGGTTACGATTTTTAGAGCCAATTTAAGAAAAAGACTTTTTAGCCCGACTTGAATATGTCTGTCGATTTGTGGAGCTTGAGAAATATGGATAGGGCAGGCCCGTGGGCCAAATAAAAATTAATTAAAAAATAAATATAAAATACAGTATTAAAAATAACAAGAGTTTACATTCAAAATCTGTTTAAAATTTGAAATATTACAATTTAAATACAAATTATGTATATAAAATATGTACTACATAAAATAAAGTTCCTAAAATTTCTAGGGAATCATTACATATGTCATAGCCTATGGAATATTATCATAGTTTTTGTGTTTTATTATGATCATTGGAAAATAATTAGGTTAATATTTCTATTTAGCTATTTATGGTTTTACTTGAAATCAAACTTAATAAATATTATATAAATAATTTTATTTGTGTATTTGATTAACAAGTAGTAACACTAGTCGATATTTATGATAATATTTTAAAATTATAATTCAATTTAAAAAATTATAAAAAATATACTTTTAAGAAAAGAGGGTTGGCCCGACAAAGCCTGTAACCCACACACTTGTGGGCAGGGCCGATCATTTTCTGGCCCACATAAAAAAAATGGGCTAGCCCAGCCTGATCCGTCAAATTGCAAAGCATGTATGAGTTAGTTTGAATGGGGCGGGCCAGTCCATATTGACAACTCTATCTGTTATATTATGGAAAGAATATATTTTACAAAAGGGAAAACATATTCAAATTTAAACAAATAATTAAAACATAAGTTAATCTTATCACAAATATACAATTTTAACAAATGATTAAAAAAAGTAACATAGAAAGTCATAAATTCAGATAAGATATAGTAGTTATTTATATTTTGGAATAAGTTAAAACTAATAAATAAGGTAAACAAATATATTTAAGACTGGGATTATGGCCCATGCTAGCACGGGCCCAATGCGAAGATTGTTTTTGAGTGCGTAGGATAAGCTAGATTGATGTGATTCACAATAATAACCGAAGAACACATATTAATTGTTTGATAGTATTTACTAAGAGGCCAAGTTTACAAGATAATTTTGTACATCTCATTTACATAAAATATCAAATCTGATGTGTGCCGAGGTTGAGATTCTTAACCATAAAATTGAGACCAAAAAAAGGCACACATCTTTATGTGATTATTCTCCAAACTTATAAATGATAGACATGCATATATGCAAGGAGGGGGAAAAGGAGGAGTGAACAAATATCCTTTTAGTTGGCATTGTATTGAAGTTAGAAGAGTTCACAAGCTGACTTGGTGGTGAAGTGTAGAGAACCATAATCAAGTTATATCAGATAGCATTCAATAATTGCAAATGAGAAAGTATATATCAATGAATGTTGTTTAGTCATTAGTTCTAGTTGCAAAGAATTGAAGTTAGAAGAGGTCACCATATTCATCAACAATATAGATAGATATCGTTTTTAACATGAACTAATACTAAATGTTACATTGGAATATAATGAATCACACACCTTATAGAATGCCACTTCTTTCATTCTATTAACTTAGGCTGAGTTATGACTGTAATTCCACCAAATTATTCAAGGATATTTCGTAGATCCTAAAACAAATTTCGTAGATACAACAAGTTTGGGCTTGCAAAACTTTGACATCTTCCCTGGGAAAAGATGGTTTTGGATAAACACTACTGGGGTTCACAATTCTCTCTAGCCTTCTTTTTCGCTTTTGCATTAATGCACCTCAATTGTGAGTTTTTGTTCTTACTCCTTTAAAAGCCAAACTACGGCGTGTGTCTACTCCAAAGTAGATGTAAGACACATATGTAACCCATAAATACACATTAGTTTGATAGGATAAATGACCAAAATACCCTTATTTTAGAATTAATTGGCAAAAAAAATGTCTCTTCTATATAAGTAAAAATA